TCTTGTCTTGTAAAATATTCGAAACAGGAATTGCTATTTCCAAAAGTGGCATAGCTGGCTCAAATGATTGTCTTTCTGAGGATTTAACTTTTGTATCACAAACTTCAACATAATCACCCTTAGTAGTTTCAATTCCCGCAGACAAGTACTTACCACCATCAACTTCTCGAGCAGGATATCTATTGGCTGATTCAGCAATAAACTCTGTCAAAGAGGGCACTTCTATCTCAGAGGGATCTACTTCCATACTGTGAATCTCAACACCATTACCCTCCCTATCTTTAACCAATAGGGATTGTTGCAAGCATCTCGAGGAACAAGCTCTATATCAGTAGATTCAGTTGTAATAGATAGAACAGGTTCAGGTACAAGGCGACCCTTAGAGTCACTGCTATCAGCTTGACCATCCACATTGCAATTGTCAACAGAAGCCTCATCCAAAGTAGCAGTCACATGATTTGGAGCTGTATCTTCATCCATAAAACAAGCTTCAAGATTGTTTGAGTTTTCTGAAGCTTCTGGAGCTCAACAATCAAAGACTTCAGTAAAGCATCCCATAACTATATAAGGCATGTCTGACTTGTGAAAAGATAAACCACTCAAATAAATAGCAGATTGATATGAAACCAATGCATCTGCAGGAATATCATTAAGACCAATGTTTCTACTATTTCCATCAGAAGCTCTAGTCATACTAGGACTTTTTTTTTTTGTTTCAAAATCATTAATAGAAGGCACCACCATACCTGTCATAGACGGAACCATTCTAGAATTATAACTAACATTATCAGTTTTGGGAGCTTCTTTAAAAGCAGGCTTTATGTTGGTTTTAGCATTTTCAGCAGTTTGAGGTAGGTCCATTATATTGAGAGAGTCCAGTTGAACTCTAGAATCTACTTGATCACCACCAAGAGCGGGAGTTCCTTAAGACACATCTTTCTTTTCACTAGCATTTAGGGGGCATGTACTATCAACCTCCATATTATTATCTATAATTGAATTTTCATTTGGAATCTATCTTGAATTTGTAATGTTGTCTGACCCAACATGGGTCTTGCATTCTGGTTTTAAAAGAATCAGCTATCTGAACAGGGGCATTAATCACAAGAGATGCAATGCCCTCCACTTCTTTTGCATTAGCTACAATTTTAAATTGCTTTTTACTTTTTTTTTTCTATTGGAACATCACCAGTTGGAGCAGCTTTTTCATGAAATGGTATGCACACAGTTGATTTACCACCTAAACTTTGGTCTGGACCACCTCCTCAAAAAACCTTGCTTGATAATGGAGCAGTAGGAGTATTCCTGCCCTCACTCCCAGTAGGTTCGCCAACTCTAGTGAAGATCTTTATAAAAATTAACATTTTGGTCTATAAAAACATTAATCATTTGACACATTGAGCCTTCTCTAATATTAATATTCAAACCACACCAATTTCTTTTCTTGTATTTTCCTCATGCGAAATATAAAATTTTCATAATTACCTTTAAATTGTTAGTAAAAATAAAAAAAATAAAAAAGAGAAATAACATAAAAGAATTTTAGCTTTGAGACGTAAAAAATATTTTCTTAAAAGCAATTATACTTTTAGGATACAACAAAACTTTAAATTTTTCAATTAAAAATACTGAAATTGGTTATACTAAAAGATTTATTTATAATGAATGAATAAATATAAATTTCTACTCAGATAGTTATGATCTTCTGTATAATTATAACTTTTTTAAATAATAATTTATTTATATTCAAATAGTTATGACTATTTATCATATAATAATTATTTCTATTCAAACATAATTATTTAAAATATGAATCAATAATTAAATCTTTCTATATAAAATGAGATGCACAACATTCTAAACTATTAACATATTAAGCTTTTCATTTTTTCCACTTTCTAGACGACCATTTTGGTGCCTTCAATATCGACAGATAATAAATGGGTAGTTAATTAAGCACCGAATTAATGAATGTAATTCTTAAGGCGAAAGATAAGTACTTCCTCTGCCATAACGCCAATCTCTCCTTCATTCTGTTTATTACTGGTTCCTAAGTCATCATGCTTCTGGGATTCGCTTCTAATGGAACTCCTAAATATTGAAATGCTATCGAACTCCTCTAGCATTACAAAATCTCTGCCGTTCTCAGTCCCACCATGTCTTGTATACCCATTGAATATATTCTAGATTTAGCAAAATTTATCCTTAGCCATGTACTATTTCAAAACAACAAAGAATCCTCCTTAAATTTCTTCCTTGTTCTTTTCCTGCTTCAATAAAAATCACCGTCTCATTTGCAAACTGCAAGTGTGATATATTGAACCCTGAATCTGCCACCATTATCCCTTCAAACAGATTTAGTTCTTTAGCCTTTTCAAACAGTCAGTGTAGTATTTCCCTTGCCAAAAGATATATAAAACAACGACAAAGGATCTCCCTGTCTCAATCTTCTTCTAATTGGAAATTCTGTCATTGGGGAACCATTAACTAAAACTGAAATTCTGACTGTTAAGATGCATTCCCTATCCAGTTTCTCCACCGTAACCCAAATCCCATATTTTCCATTGTAAAATCGAGGAACTTCCAATCTACACAATCTTAGGCTTTCTCGAAATCTAACTTCACCACTACCTCTCCATTGTTACATTGGTGTTTTCTCATGCTATGAATTATTTTGTTTGCTAGCAAGATTCCATCCGTAATCTGCCTACCACTAATAAATGCACTCTGTGTATCACTAACCAACTTCTCAATCACTGTCTTTAGTCTATTCGGCAACATCTTTGCCAGTACTTTATACATTGAATTCACCAAGCTGATGGGGCGATATTCCTTCAATGAGGTAGGATTAGAAACTTTGGGGATTAGAGTTATGAATGTTGAATTTAATCCTTTCTCAAATTTTCCACCGCCATATAATTCTGCAAAAAATTCCATTAGCGCTTGTTTCATCAACATCCACATTTTCTGGTAAACACTCAGTGTTGAAACCAACTGGGCCAAGTACTTTCAATCCCTCACATTCGCCTACTACCCTTCTTATCTTCTTAAGTGTAAATGGGTTTTGCAAACATTCTGAATCTTCAGTATTTAGTTTTTGGAACTCTAATTTATCTACGATTGGTCTGCACCAACTTTCTGTATCATAGCAAACAGAAAGTTGACTTGCCTAAACTTGACTATTCAACTTCCTCCGATATTTCATCTTCTTTCTTCTCATGCCTACTTTGCACCATTTCAGGAGATTGACTTTTTTCATCTTGCCATCTCCCTGGACTTGACTTTTGTCACTTCCTTCTCTTTCTGATATAACGACTGAAACATTAATTCACCCACTTGCAACTGAATTCTTCCTTCTTTCTCTGTTATTGACTCAGTGTGATGTATATGTGACCCCCATTAAAAGACTACAATTTCAATGAACTATCATCCATGCATAGAAACTCTCCAAAACCCTGAGCAATACTCTGAAACGTCTCTATGCACCATGCATGAAAAGGAATCCCATAGCAGGTTACCCAAGCACCTTTTCTACTGGAAGGAGTCTTTTCAGATCATATCTCAATCTTTTCGAACCTAAAGGATAATACGTCCCATTTCTTCCCCTTCATAGATTCAAAGAATTCATTATCTTCAAATGTAATAAGAAATGAATAATCGGATATTCTCCTTATGATGACTTCCTTCCTTATTTTTCTATTTATCTCTAGTAGATCATCCTCCTCCAAATAATCCTTACAAAAACCTATTACACTTGTCTCCAACCAATGAAGAACCTCACCATTCACCCTGCCTACGTATTCTGTTACATCCCTATCACCTGTTGATTGGAATAAATCATTCAGTTCTATAATATTAGATAACTTTGCTCCATTGTTATTCTCCTCTACCAAGGCTTGTAGATAGGTTCTTCTTGTGTTATTCCTTTCAACTTCATTATACACTTGTTTTCCTATGTCATAATCTTTCTGGTGCTGCCATCCTGTACCTCCCTGACTTGCTTTTGAGTATCGGCTCCCGTTTTCCTTGTCCCTTGTTCAGCATCCATTCTCCTTGACTTCTTCCAATATGAGTCTCTAGGATTAAATTTAGCAATGTTCACTCTAATCATATTGTTCATTAGCCTTACTCCATTGACATTCCATACTGCCCTCCTAGCTTCCTCTCTTGAAGGGAATCTAACGAATCCTATTCTTCTACCGCTTCAGCTCTTTTTCTGTGGAATAAAAACATCTACTACTTTCCCATACTTCTTGCATTCTCTTTTTAGCCATCTCCAATGAATTCTCCGGGGAAGGTTATTGAAGAAGATCGTCACCCCAATTTGCATTTGCTATTTTTGCCTTGTTGAGATCGCCATGTACTGATTATCCCATTTATATGGCATATATCATGGTATTGTTTGCAATATGCCTCTAACAATACATATGTGAAATTTAAATAAAAATAAATATTTTAATCCAATTCATATTAAAAATTAAATAATTTTTACTTGAATGTATATACTAATAAGTTTGTTTCTTCCTTATCTAACTAATTTAACTCGATAGTTTGTACATGTTAATATTAATATTAAAAAAAATATTAACTAATAATGAGTTTGACTTTTTCTAACAATAATATATTATTAAAAAAAAAATCTTGCCACATGCACTAAAGGAGCTTAGGAGCTCCTGGATTCATCAGGATATATACATGTAATTGGCTGATGCCTGAGACAACCCATTAAATTCGTACACGGATCATATCATTGTCGGGCAGGACCATTCGTTTTACTACTTGGGCCTTTTTTTTATAACTCTGGAAAGTAGCAAAATGCGAAATTGTTTCCGTTTTCTCCTTTATTTTCAATAAAAGAATGTTGGTAGCTCAAAACAATATCAAGAAACCATTCCGGACTTGCTTACGAGAGACAACAACCTATTGGGTTGTGTCTAACATTACTGCCCCCATTAGCAGAAAATTTTACCAGAAAAGAAAATGAAAGAAAACCAGAAATTTTATCGTGCTTTGGGCATTTAACCTAACAATGAGGCAGCTTACGTAAGCTAGATCAAACAACCTTGACGTCGGCCTTGTAGTCATCCTCGCCCATGAAACTGCTCCAGAACCAATGCTGCTTCCAGACTTTGTCGACCATTGAATCAACTGGGACACCTTTGGTCTCTGGCAACAAGAACCAGGTGAACAATCCCATGATGATAATCCAGGCAGCAAAGAAGAAAAAGATTCCGGCTTGCATATGGCATAGCATTGAGAGGAAAGCTTGAGCAATGACGAATGTGAAGAGCATGTTAGAGCTGACTGCAAAAGCAAAACCGGCTGTTCGTGTCTCTAGAGGGAAAGTCTCGCTAGGAATTAACCAACCGAGAGGTCCCCATGACCAGGCAAAACCCATGACAAAGAGGCACACCAAGATCACCACAAAAGTTGCCTCCCCTTTCCCAAGATTATCACCCGTGGTTTTCAAGTCTTTCAACAGTACTACACCAATAATAGTCTGCAACACATTAATAAAAGATTAACATATAGTGAAACTGCACTTAATGATGTGAAAAAAATATATAATAATGGCAACTTCAACAGAATTGAAAATTAGGGAGAGAGATGAGATTTGAAACCTGGGAAATGAACATCTGAACACAAGCTTCAAGTAGTAAAATTCTCCTTCCAGCCTTATCCACGGCATAAACTGAGACCACAGTACTAAGGACATTGACAAGGCCAGTAATAACAGCTGAAAGCAACGCGGTATCACTTCCAAATCCCACGGTCTGGAAGAGCACTGGAGCATAGAACATGATAGCGTTGATTCCTGTAAATTGCTGGAAAACTTGCAACAAGATGGCAATGACTAATGGGGGTCGGCTTGCTGGCTTCATTAGTTTGCGGAAAGGGTCTTTTACTTGCCTTGCGATCTCACAAGCATTTACAATTGAATCAAACTCGTCATCAACATTTTCAACGCCACGGATTTTCCTGAGAACTTTCCTTCCTTTCTCAACTTTGTAACGTTCAATAAGGCTAGTTGGAGTCTCACAAATGAGGAGAGATCCCACGCAGAGCATCAAAGCAGGGATACCGGCAACGGCAAGAGAAATTCTCCATCCATTGGGATGGATTTTTGATGTAAAGTAGTTTACCATATTGGCTACGAAAATTCCAATAGTAATGAAGAGTTGGAAACTAATGTTGAGTGCTCCACGCATCTTAGCTGGAGCTAACTCCGATAGGAAGAGTGGTACCGCCTGAAATAATAAACAATTCATAAGGATCAATTGATGAATGATGGATGAATAAGATTAAGAACATTAATATTAGCTAATGTAAAGGTATTCTTACTTGATTGGCAAAACCAACTCCAAAGCCAAGAAGAATTCTCCCTATAATTATCATTTCTATGTTGAGACCTCCAGCAGTCAAAAGCACTCCTGCCAGGAAGAAAACTGATGCAATCTGCATGGTGGGTTTCCTGCCAGCTTTTGAGCAGACCCTTGCGGCTGCAAAACTGGCTACAAGAGCTGCGAGGTACAAGGAAGACGTGAACAGCTGGAGGAACTGGTTATCGTATTTGCAGTAGTTGTTTTCATGAACATGTTGTTTCCTTTCATACACAGCCGGAAAGAATTTTTTCAAGAAATCATCCATGGATGTTACTCCACCTGTCAATCCAAATCAAATTATATCCCAAAAGAAAATATTGCGTTGGAACTAATAATATAAATGAAGACATTTATAACCAAAAAAAAAAAAAAAACCTGAAATGCCTATGTCATATCCGAACATTAAGCCCCCAAAAGCCGCTATGGTCACACAGACTATGACATAGATTGTAGTCCTGCCTTCGTAATCTGGAACGTCGCCAGAGCCGCTTACTAAAACTGCCGGCATTTTCCCCTCTTGTTGAAAAGATATACTTTCTTTTCTACCAATCAAAATTCTCGACAATTTAATCAAAATCGCAGATTAATGCTTAGGAGGGGAGGAAATATATATAAATGAAAGCAGGAATCAAGAAATAGCAAGACTTAAATATTTACTTGTGATAAGATAAAAGTTCAATCCTTGCTTAGTTCAACACCTTTGCATGGTTTATATACATGAGTTGAGAGTGCTAACAGAAATCTAAAATTGGCCAGTTCTTGAAACCCAAACCCCGGTAAGTTGTCCCAACAGTTTTTCCAGCATTTGACCTACTGTTTTTCTAATTTTAACCTTGACCGGACCTAGCTTTATTCCAATTTGGAAACGATAAAACTGAGCTAAAATCCTACATTAAACAGTTACCGATTATCCACCCCAACCAAACAAATATAATTACTTCCACATCTCTTCGTAATTGTATGTTGAGTCGACTTCCCTTCATTTACAGTTAGGATCTGACATGCCTTATCCTAATTTTATCTTATCAATCCAACTTCAACTTTTTATTTTTGCTTTTAAGTCGTTTGGCATTACTGAAAAACCAAGCCATATAACTAAAGTAGATATTACTTATACTAGAATGATGCTGTGAGGTTATTTTAAAAATATTATTCATAATAATTACTTATAAAAAATTTTAAAATTATAAATTATTATAAAAAATAATAGTAATAATAAACCAAGATAATCATTTTGTTCAATAAACTATTTTACTTGTTTTTATTTTTATCTTTTTTAAAGTAATTTGATATATTTAATTCATGCACAAATTAAAAACTAAATAGATAAAAATAAAAAATGAGTTAAAAAATATCTAAATTATTATTGAGTTTGACCAAAATGTGCTATGTCCAAGATGAACTCGATTAAGTCTGGCTCTCAAACGCCACTTTTCCTTTCTTTCTCATCTTCTTTGGCTGGTTAATCTTATCCTGAAATCATTATTTTCTCAAATTATCTTCTCTTTTTATGGTTTTTTATCTTAGAATTAAAAAAAAAAAGTTTATGAATTGTAGATTTTTCTATTTTGTTACTTTTGTTTCTCTATGTGATTGTATTATAGCTTTTGAAAAATTTTTATGATTTATGGCTTTTTGTTGCTTTTTTATGTAAATTGGCCATTTTTAATATTTTATAGTATTTATAATTATTGGATTCTTTTATAATTTTTACTTTTTCATAATTATAAATTAAAAAAATAAAATTTGGTTTGAATTTTTTGGGCATTTGGTATTTTATTTTGAATTTTTGTAAACCAAATATTTTTGGTTTTTTTTTTTTTATTTGAACCTTTGTAAAACTGTAGTGTTACTTTAGTATTAGTGGATATTTGGTTTAATTCTTTGTAAAAAATTCTTGTTTTATTTTTTTAATTTTCTCTCTCTCCACTCTTCATTTCTTTGTTTTCCATTTTTTAATATTTTAACTTTAAGAAATTAAAAAAAGTAGCATTTAAAAATAAAAAATTATGTTCATTTCATGCAAATTTATTTCGTTGGGATTTGATTTTCGTTCTTTCCAATTCTTTTTTTTTCATATTTTAAATTAAAAAAAAACTGCGTGTCAATGTCAAATTAAGTTACCCCATGACAATCTGTTTTTTTAAGGGATTTAAAGTACATTTTGCAAAAAAAAAAAAAGGAAAATATCCAAAAAAAAAAAAAAAAAAAACCAATTGGCTGCTATATGCCTGCCAAATAAGTTGCCACATGATAGGCTATTGCCCCTTATGTAACACTTTTGATCTGTTATATAAATAGTATTATTTACAGCATATTTGGTTGGGGGAATTGCAATTTCATTCCCCCATTTTCCTCATCATCATTTTATTTCATTATTTGGTTCTTTTTTTTTTTGACAAAAAATAGCGATTTTAGGAAATATCAATTCCTTAACAACATGTTTGGTTGGGAGGAATTGTAATTTCATTGCCCCGAGTTTTTTTATAATCTTTCTATTTCATTGTTTGGTTTATTTTTTGGGTAAAGAATAGCTAATTCATAGAATATCAATTTCTTAAAAACAAAGAATAGCAATTTTTTACTCTCCCTCGATGATTGCAATTCTTTATTCATCAATATTTGGGAATAATATATAGGAACAATATCCTTATACATTTAATTAATTTCAATTTTTTCCTTACATATTTAATTATAATATTTCATTAGATAATTAATTAATGTTAATATTAATTAAATAAAATTATAATAATTAATTAATTAATTAATATGAAAATATTATTACATTAATATGTATTATAAAATATTATTAAAATAAATTATCATATTCTAATAGTATTAAAAAAATTTAATATTAAAATATTATTAACTTAATATTAAAATTCTCAAAATTATTAAATTAATATTGCATATCGCAATAATATTAAAACAACAATAAAATATGATAACATTAGTTAAATACTATTAAAATATTATTAAATTAATATTAAATAGTAAAATACTATTAAAATAGAATGTAATATTCCAAATTATTAAAATATATTACATATAAACTAATATTAAAATATTACTAAATTAATATTTAGTATAAATATTATTAAATATTATTAAAATAGATTCAAATATTATTAAAATAATATTTTATATTAAAATATTATCAAATAATATGAAATTTTTGGAAAATTAATTATTTAATATTTTGTTAAAATAAAATTAAAATATTATAAAATTAATTAAATATTATTAAAATATTAATAATTTATTCTTTCATGTTAAAAATTAAATATTGTTTAAAAATATTTAATAATGAAAATATGATTAACAGAATATTAAATATTAAAATATTTTAAAGTTAATATTTAGTATAAAATATAAAAAATATTTAATATTATTTAATTAATATTGAATATTACAAAAGTTAATATTTAATATGATTAAATTAATATTTAAAATTGTTCAATAATATTTAATAATATTAAATATTAGTTAAAAATATTAAATTAATATTGAATAATAATAATTATTCAAATATTATTCAAATAACATTAACATTAAAAAATTTAATAATTAATATTTTAAAAAATTAAAAATTAGAAAATTCATTACATAATATGAAGATATTATTAAATTAATATTTATTATTAAAATGTTATTAAAATAATAATTTATATTAAATATTGTTAAATTAATATGTAAGATTAAAATATTATGAAAATTAATATTGAATATTAAAATATTATAAAATATTAAAATATTATTAAATTAATATTTAGTATAAAATATTGTAACAATATTAAATATATTTAATTAATATTTAATATTACTAAATTGAATAATTAATATGATTAAATTGATATTTAATATTATTCAATAATATGAAATTAATATTGAATATATTAAATTATTATTAATATTTTATTCATTTCATTAATTAATAATTTTGATAATAAATATCAAGGGTAAAATGATTTTTTAAAATAATATCATCCATATTCATTAAAGTAACTAAATATATTAATATTAATTCTTCTTTTATTCCATTTTAATGAATCAAACTCCATAGTACATATTTTATTCTATTCCTTTTATTTTCTATTCTCACATAATACTAATTCCATTTCACCTCTATTTTATTTCATGAAACAAACGTGCCAAACGTGCCATTAGTACCACAAAGCTAGTATAATGTTTTATAGTTAATGATGCTTGACCCTAACTTGTATGGGTCAACTTTTATAAATCAATAAATTATAAACATATAGAATCAAGGATCATAATACAAATTATTGTCAATACATTATATCTAAATATATTTTATATTTTATTATATATGGAAAAAAATTCATAAGTTATATATAAAAAATTTATGATGGAATTATAAAAAAGTAAAAGATTATGATAGAACATCAAATTTATTCATTTATGATATGTTGATATTGATAGGCGATCTGTAAGCACATAAAATCGTATAAGTAATAAAAAAAAGATATTTTCACAAAAATTGAAAATACGAGTGTAACAAGTATTGAAATTGTTTTACCCTTTTTCATATTTAGAAAATTTAATAAAATATGCAAAAATAGAATATAACTTATGCAAATTAAACTTAAAACATGCAATAACTATAAATTAATATGAAATCAAACCAAAGCTAATGCAAACAGTAAGTGAATATAACTTATAGAACTATGCAGCAACTATTTAACCAATTATAACTATGCAGCAACTAATTAACCAATTAAACATACAAAAAAAATCAAATTAACAAGATCTGAAATCAATATAAACCAATTAAACATAAACTGAATAAGATCTAAGCTAAATAACTCAATAACATGCAAATTTAAACTTACCATCCGTAACTAACTCAAATTGAATTAAACAACAAGTGAATTAATTAAATTAAATTTTAACTTACCCAACTAACCCTAATCAACTATCAAAGCATACAAACAAATTGTTATGAACTGAAATTAACCTAAGAACTTCCAATAAGATCTAAATAAATCAAAACAAAACTGAATTAAATCAAATTAAGAAAATTGAAACCTAATTACTTGAATTAAACCCTAATCACATACAACACTAATTAATAACCCTAAATCTAATATGCAATTAGATCAAAGAACAATTAAACAAGCATAAATCAATCCTAAATAAACTAATGGAAACTGTTCTAAAATATAAAATAAGTAAACTAAAACTAACATGCAAGAGCTTACAAATCTAACTAAATTAAACCCTAATCTTACAATCTATGCTACCTAAACAATAAATTAAATCTAACCCTAACTATATTAATCAAAATCTTTATAATGATTTAGATATGAAATTACAAGAATAATATAAGAACATAATGTAAATCGAATCAATTGAATCAAAATAAAGCAAAACCACAACTTGTATTAATTAAGATTTAAAAATAGAAAGAGAGGGAAAGAACTAATGATTAAATCAATTGCAAGAATATTAATCAAAACTGAATTGAAAAGATCTTGAAACAAAGTTTAATTGGATTAAAATTTTGAAAGAAGTTGGATAAATTAAATCTAAAGTAAAACAGAAAATTAATGACTAAAGAATGCTTAAAACAAATTCAAGAATAAGAAAACTATAGTTGCTAAGGTTGGTCAGTCACCCCAACCACTTACACCCT